TGATTCCCTCTTCTGGACTCTATAGGCATTGCATGCATGTGATGCACTTACATACATGTAGGCAAAACACTCATCCACATAAAAATAAAAATAATGAAAAAGTTATTTTTAAAGGTTTGTGGTTTAAGAGGCAAAAATTAAAGTCACCATGGGGGCTGGTGAGATGGCTCATGGAGTAAAGGTGCTCGCTGCCTATGCTGAAGACCTGAGTTCAATCCCTGGGCCCCACATGGTTGAAGGAGAGAACAGACTTTTATAAGTTGTCCTCTGACCTCTGTACTTATGCTAAGGCACACCCCCATAAATAAATAAGCAAACAAATAAATAAAAGTTACTACATAGGTGTATGTATTACAAGGGAGAAAACCAACCACACACTTTGTTCCCCTTTCTGTTTTTTTGAGACAGGATCTCAGTATATATCCCTGCCAGCCTTGAACTTGCTATGTAGACCAGGCTGGCCCCAAACTTGAAGGGATCCTTGTGTTATGATTGTACATGTGTACCACCATGGCTGGTTTCAACTCCATATTAAATTTTTATTACATTTATTCATGTATTTGTGGCGGGGGGGGGGTTGGGGGTTGCACATGCCATGTGCACATGTGGAGGGCAGAGAAGCACCTGTGGGAACTGGTTCTCTCTTTCTACCATGTAGGTCCCGGGGATCAGACTCAGGTTGTCAAGCTTGGTGATAAAAGCCTTTACCCACTGAGCTCTCTTGCCAGTCCTAATTCCACATTCTTGATTGAGTAAATAAAAACAACTGACAATAATTATTTTATGACACAGTCTATGATGAGAAAACAACATTCTATTTAAACTAAAATGTTTAAAGATTTTGTGTTTTGCCTGCATGTGTGTTAGGTGGACTGTCATGCAATGCCCATGGAGACCAGAAGAGGGCGTCAGATTCCCCTGGAACTGGAGTTACAGATGGTTGTTAGCCACCATGTGGGTGCTGGGAACCAAACCCAGGTCTTCTGCAAGAGTAGACTGGTGCTCTGACTGACCGAGCTGTCTTCAGCCCCCAAGAAGACTGACTCTTTTGGTGATGGGATTACATTTTGCTTCCCTGCAGTTCAAAATTAGTATTCTCTGCCATCAAAATCAAGTTGCAAATGCCTGATTTCTTGTTTTTAAAAAAGATTTATTTTTTATTTATGTGAATGTGTGTGTGAGTGTATACCACATATGTACAGAGTTCACAGAGGGCAGAAGAGGGTGGCAGACCCCCTGGAGCTGAGTTATAGGCAGATGTGAGCCACCATGCAGAGGAACCAGATTTGGGTCCTCTGCAAGAGCAGTAAACACTCTTAACCACTGAGCCATCTCTCCATAGCCTTTATCCCTCTCATTAAAAGAAAATTACATTTATGTATTTATTTATTTGAGTGTGTACACACGTGCTGTTGTGCAAAGGCCAGAAAACAACTTATACTCTCCTTCCACTTTTATGTGGGTTCTGGGGATCAAACTTGGGTTTTCAGTCTTAGCTGCAAATACCTTTACGTGCTGAACCATCTAGCAGGGTCTCACTCTGTAACCCAGGCTGGTCTCAAACTTGGGGTGATCCTCTCACCTCTGCTTCCCAAGTGCTGGAATTATAGGTCTGTGTCATTGTACACAGATGATTTTTTTTCTTTAACCATTAAAAAAAATGTAAAAACTCCGGCTGGCAAGATGGCTCAGCAGGTAAAGGTGCTTGCAACACAAATCTGGTGACTTGAGTTTTATCCCTAGAACCCACATAAATGTGGATGGAGACAATGGACTCCACAAAGTTGTCTTTGACCACTATGTGTATATGTAAATATATACGTATTTATATACATGTAAAAGGTATTCCATACCCACAGTCCATACACAAGCTGGGCTCTCAGTTACAATTCACTGACCCCTAACGCGACGTGGTGACGCACACCTTTATTTGCAGTGCTCCGGAGGCTGAGGCAGACAGAGACCCCTGTGATAAGCAGTCAATACGTGTGGCTACAGGAATGAAAGAAGGAAGGGACGTTCTCATATGAGTGTATTGGTCAGTCAGTGAACATGGCAGGCCTCTTGAGCAGCTATTTTTGGTAGGAAGCAATGCTGAGCTAAGGATGTAGCTCTGTGGTAGAGAGCTTGCCTAGCACGGACAAGACCCTGGGTTCATCTGCAGCACTGGGGACGGGGGAGGCAGTGGTATCACTGCTGCTCCCAAACTAAGATCCCACACCTTTGCGGCAAGGAAAAGACACATCTGGAGGCAAAAGGGCCACTTTGTGGTTTCTCTGCTGATAGCCTAGGGCAGGAATCCGTTCTCAGTGATGGCTCTACTCACAGAGGGGCCCTACGGACTGCTGCTCTTCCTTCCTGGGAACAAGTTAAAGGTCCTCCTCCTATAGCTGGCCCTTCCCAGGGCTGCAGGCAGTTGCTGTCAGATGACAGTCAAGTGAGTCCAGTGTTGGATATTGACACAATGACCTCTTTTTACCCACCACTTCCCCTTGGGTAAGGCCAGTGTGAGGGAAGGGAGGCAACAGGGGCTGGCCCACTCACCCTTAGGCTTGAGCACCCACAGTCACCTTCTTCTGTGGGCTTGTTGCAACTCAGGTCTCCAGCTCACAGAGACCACAAAAGCCCCTCAAAGCCCATGTCATTCAGTGCTGAACTGCACTTCTCTCTAAGACATCAAATTAGTCATGGAGGTTTTCCCACTGCTCTGAGTCATCTCCCCACAGCTGTGGGTTTCCTAAGGGCAGAGCAGAACATGGGAAAGTCACAAGAGCGACTGTGTAGTTCTGAGCAGGCAAGGTCAGCTGCACAGGGTTCTCAGCATCTCTCTCCTCAAGAACTCCCAAAGGACCCAGCTGCCCACTCAGGAGCGCCATGATATGAGATCCATGTCAGGGGTTTGGCTGTGCACACAGGCATGAAGAGTCATTTGAGGCTGAGTGGGGGAGATGCTGGGTGGGGGAGATGCTGGGGCTGGTGCTGCTGAGCCACCAGGACCTGGCAGGGGCTTCCCCAGAGATGTTGCATAAAGAGGGCTGGAGAAATGGTTCAGTGGTTAAGAGCACTGGCTGCTCTTGCAGGGGGACACTGGTTTGGTTTCCAGCATCCAGATGTCAGCCAACCACCACCTGTAACTCCAGTTCCGGGGGATCTGACGTCTTCTTCTGGCCTCCCCAGCCACTGCATGCACAGGTGCACTTACATGAATGCAGGCAATACACTCATACACATAAAAATAAAAATCAAAAATGTAACTTAGAAAGCATGAAGGTCGCTGTGCTCAGGTGTCTCTACCTGAGGGGCGGCCTATGGAGGTGAAGTATTCAATACAGACCCATGTGCTGCTCGTGGATTCGTACAGCCTTGGTGGTTCCTTCTTGACCATTCCATGCCTACCCAGAGGCACCCAGCACAGAATCCAGGGCTCTATGTGAAATACTCTGTCCTCACTCCAACCAGGTCCTGCCCCTCAATGCACCTGTTGGTTAATCCACAAAACAAATGGCCTCATAGGCTCATGTGAGGTTTAATGAAAAATCAACATCAATGCCAGGGAAGTAGCTGGCTCGTGGTAAATTCTCAACAAATACTACTTATTATTAGCAGGTTGATGGGCAATGAATGACCTTTTAGAGAAAACTTTGGAGAAAGGCCAGAGCAGAAATAAGACCTGACCCTGGTCCTATAAGAGCAGCTAAAAGCAGGGGCTGGGGAGACGACTGCTCAGTGGATAAAAGCGCTTGGTCTGTGAGCATGAGGGCCTGAGTTAGACTCGCCACCAACCAATAAAATCTGGGTGTAACTGGGTCTGTGCCAGCAACCTCAGCACTAGGGGACAGGGGCAGAGGCAGCAGGATCCCTGGGGTTTGCTGGCTGCCAGTCTAGTGAGAGACCCTGTCTCAAGGGAAAAAGGTGAGGGCGATAGAACAGAGCACCCAGTTCCCTTCTCTGGCACACACTGTGCGCCCACTCATACACCACACACCAAAAATCCGTAAAGGCCTCAGATGCCTGTTAGATTTACTCAGTCTCCTTTCTTCCTCCTCTTCCTCCTCCTCCTCCTCCCCCTCCCTCTCCCCTCCCCTCATCTCTCCTCTCCCTTGTTTTATGTTTTTCTGATTTCAGACAACCATTAGTGTTTTATGTAATTATTAATTTTAATGTACAGGTGTGCTTTTTTTTTGTTGTTTTTTGTGTTTTTGAGTCAGGGACTCACTATGTAGCCCTGGTTGGTCTGGAACTCACTATGTAGATCAGGCCAGCCTCAAACTCACAGAGATCCACCTACTTTTGTCTCCCGAGTGCTGGGATTAAAGATGTATGCAGCACCATGCCTGGTTTCTTTTATCTTTTGGGTTTAAAGATTTTTTTGAGGGGGAGGTCTTTTTGAGATAGGCTCTCCCTGTAGCCCCAGCTGGCCTGAAACTTGCTATGTAGACCAGGCTGGCCTTGAACTCACAGAGATCCACCAGCCTCTGCCTCCTAAGTGCTGGGATTAAAGGTGTGTGCAACCACGCCTAGTTTTAAAGATATTTTAATTTTTTTTTGTCTTTTTGTGACAGGGTCTCCCTGTAGTGGGGCTTGCCTGGAACTCACTATGTAGATCAGGCTGGCCTTGAACTCAGAGATCCACCTGTCTCTGTCTCCTGAGAGCTGGGATTAAAGGCGTGTACCACCACGCCTGGCCTTAAAGATTTATTTTTAAATTTTTATTTCTGTGTGTCTGTGTGGGTGCATACAGAGGTCAGAGGAGGACACAGGATCCCCTGGAGCAGGAGGTGCAGGTGGCTGTGAGCCACCAGATGTGGGTCCTCTGGAAGAGCAGCAAGCACTCTTAAACGAGCCATTTCTCCAGCCCTTCACTACCTGCTCTTTCATCTCTGAGAGCCGACACTGCTGCTGGAATCTGTTCATAATCCCTCCCACTTTAACCCTGTGGAGGGGCCATGTCACACCCTCGTGAATCCTGCAGCTAGGAAATCAGAGTCTGACTGCACAGCTTAGTACAAGTGGTTTATTCTCTTCCGGGCGAGGGTGAACATATGTCAAGCAAAGGTTTGCCCACCTAGCCCCTATGAGAACCCCCGAGGAGGAGTTTTAGATTAGTTAACATGCATTAAAAAGTCCTTCCGTAGTTGATGAGGCAATATTAGAGCAACACCTTGAGGTCACAGCTCCAAGATCTGCATGGACAGACAAAGGCGGTTCACGAAACACACAGGTGAATGTGAGACACAGTCAGGTCGGTGCCTAGTGCTCTCTGCTTTGTAGCTTGGCTGGGGAGCTGTCGGTGTGACAATGTGGCTCTTCTGAAAGGGAAACAGCCCTGTCCCACTCTGTCACTCAGGGCCTGCTAGGTGTGTGCAAGGCCATGAGCTTCAGCGCAGTGGACTCTGGGTTGGCAGGAGTTTGAGAGCACCAAAGACCCTATAACCTGATCTCTTAGTAGACAGGACAGGGATCATCATTTTCTCCTGACCGAAAAAAAAAAAAAAAAAAAAGCTCTTTTGTACCTGGCAGGTCAGGGGCCTGGGACATGGGTGGCGGTGGGGCTGTGAGGCTGACAGAGGCCTGTCCTCATTTCAAACCACAATCTTACCATTTTGCTAACCTTCGATGGCAAGCCTGTTTGAAGACACAGAGAAAGCTGTCTTGGGCACTCGGCTGGCTGTTCCTTAGAACAGAGGCCACTCAGCCTTCCCTCCTGTTACAGGACCCCAGATGACCTTCCACAGCAGCTTGGGGCAGGATGTCCCAACCCATCTTTGTTTTATTGAAAAATCCACTACTCTGTGTTTCCTCCAGACCTGTGAAGAACTGGCTGGTATGAGAGTCTTGGAATAGAAACCAGGTGAAAGGACAGAGCCAGAATCTATTGTAAAAACTGGACGTGCTGGATCTTTGGCTCATCAAAACATTTAAAACACTGGGAAAGAGTTCAGTCCCTTTCAAAGCATCTGTTCCTACCTGAGACCATCCCCACCTGGGTTCAGACCTGCAGCATTAATTCTGGGACGGAGGTGGCCGGTGGCGGTTAGAGGCAGAATGTGTTAGGTTCCCTCTTGTGTTTCCGCCAAAGGCTGCCAGGCTGTGGTGCCTAGCTTGAAGCCACCAGTCCCCACTGCAGAACACTCCTAACACTATCCCTCTAGGCCCAGGCAGAGTCTGCACGACCCCAGAGTTTGGATCTGGATGTGCTCCTCTAAACGGACCTCCTGACTGGCACCTCCCATTGACTGACAGGAGGGTGTTGCCTAGCCTTTTGTCTGTGCTAACAAGAGGTAGGGGCCTGGTGGCAGGACCTGAGAGAACAGGGCTCCCAGGCTGGTGGGCCCCTCATCATTGCTACTCTCCACTTGCCGAGAGTGGGCTGAACTGGGCAGCTGGCTCAGGGGCAGTGGCCAAGTCCTGGGGAATTCTGGGATAGAGAGCGTGGCAGGAGACAGGCCAGTCACAAGCCTGGCATCCATCTGCACCTTTGGTCTGGAAACCCAGCCACGTCTCCAAAGCCACAGGAGCCTGCCGATGTCCAGGAGTTTTTGGTTTCTGTTACAGAAACATAGCTGGGATCTGCATCCATTGAAAACCAAGTCGGCAGGAGGAGGCAGGTACCTGGGAGGTTTAGGATGGAAACTCGTAGTGTCTCAGGTGCTCATCTGCCACGGACATGTAGGTGGTCCTCATGCTGGGAGAGTACTGTGAAGGAGAGGAGAGGCAGTCAGAACAGGGTACATCTTGTTACCAAGTAAACTCGATATTGTACAGCCCACCCTCCCTTTTGTATCTGCTGGCTCCACACTGGTGGATTCAACCAACACTGGACCAAAGCTGTTTAAAAAATTATGTGTGCTGGGCGTGGTGGCACACACCTTTAATCCTAGCACTCGGGAGGCAGAGGCAGGCGGATCTCTGTGAGTTCAAGGCCAGCCTGGTCTACATAGTGAATTCCAGGACATCTGGGGCTACAGGGAGACCTATCTCAAAAAGACCAAAAAAAAAAATTGTGTGTATTGAACAGATATTCATATACATACTTTTTCTGTCTTCATTTCTGATGGTTGTTTACCATGTTTAATTGTTTATCTTATGTGTATGAGTGTTTTGTCTGCATGTACCTAAGGGTACTATGTGTGTGCAGTGCCAACAGAGGCCAGAAGACATTAGATCCCCTGGAACTGGAGTTACAGATGATTGTGAGATGCCACGTAGGTGCTGGGAATTGGATCCAAGTCCTGTGCAGGAACAGCAAGTGTTCTTAACTGCTGACGTCTCTCCAGCTCCTGGTAGTTGGTTTTTTTTGGGGGGTGGGGGGGCTGTTTTTTCTTTCCGCTTGTTTGTTTTTGAGACAAGGTCTTATTTTGCAGCCTAGCCCAGCCTAGCCTGAAACTCCCTATGTGTCCCAAGCTGGACTCGAACTCAAGTGAGAGCCTCTTGTTTCAGTCTCTGGAAAACTGGGATTATAGGCACGTACCACCACACCCGGAGTCATTCTGTTTTCTCGTTACTTCTGTTTCTGTAACCAGTATAAAGAAGCAACCACTGGCATATTATTTACATTGCATTAGTTATTATAAGTAATCTGGAGGTGTTTTTAAAAATATTTTTTAATTTATTATTTTTATTTTATGTGTATGAGTGTATTGCCTGCATGTATGTAAATGTACCCATGTCGGGCAATGCTAGTGGAGGTCAAAGGAGGGCATTGGATTCCTCCAGGACTGGAGTCACGGACAGTTGTTAGCAGTCATGTGGATGCTGGGAATTTTACCTGGGTCCTTTGCAAGAGCAGTCAGTGCTGTTAACCACTGAGCCATCTCTCCAGCCCCCAAACCTGGAGGTGATTTTGAGCATACAGGAAGATATGTGCAGATTACATGCAAGAAAACAGTATAGCATTTTGAGCCAGTGAGATGGCTCAGCAGGTAAAGATGCTTGATGCCAAACTAACAACCTGAATTCACACCCTGGGACCCACATGATAGAAGGACAGTACCGATTCCTGCAAGTTGTCCTCTGATCTCCACACATGTGCCATGGCACATAACTCTCCCAAGTAAAAATTTAACAATATAATAGTACACCATTTCCTATAAAGGACCTGGGCATCCTCAGAGTCTAGTATCCTCAGGGGTCCTAGAACCAGTGCTCTGTGGACTCTGAGGGGACAACTGAACTAGAGCAGTGCTGGGAACGTCCCAGAGGGTGAGAGCCTGGCCAGGGCCAGACGCTGGGCATGGGGCTTTAGTCACAGCACCATGAGGCTTGGGGTGATGCTAGAGTGGCCTGGGCAGCTGCACATCCACTGATGCTCCCAGTCCCACATCCACCAGGGCGGCGGACTTCAGCCTCCAGCATAACATGCTGTGGGGTGCTTCACCAGAGAAGACCACTCAAAGTTTTGCCGAATGAAAGTTGTTGCTGGCCAGTGACTATACAAGGGTGTCAGAACCAAGTGTGTAGCCCCGAGTCATCTCTAGGGTAAGCTTTTATACAGAGAAACCATAACCAGTGGTGAAAAGTTTAAGTTCCCAAGCTTACAGGTGCAAAGTCCCCTTACCAATTTCTATTTAATTAAGCAACAATTACTATTTTGCAGAAATAAGTCAAGTATAACCTACAGAAGCCATAAATCTGCAGTGAGCAGGTGCTCTCAGGACGTGCTTACCTGTTCCCAAGACAACTGGGGTCCTGCTGACTATGTTCCTGTACCCTGGGCCAACTGCCTGATAATTTCAGAGACTAGAGTCAGCCTAAACTTTAACATGGCGTAGCTATGGTCAAGAAGGTGCCCTATCACATGTGCACACACAGAACAGGATTCTCCTCCCCCAATCCAATCACACTGCACACCCAACACCCAGATTGTATTCTCACTGTGGTATAGTGCTGGGCTGTATCAGGGTATACCAGGCAGTTAGGATCAGTTAGTGGCTAGCAGGCTGAGAACAGAGGCCCACAGACCCTGGGAGCCAGGTCCACATCCCAGCTGTGCTCTGTGTGTGTGTGTGTGTGTGTGTGTGTGTGTATGTGTGTTTGTGTGTGTGTGTATGTGTGTGTGTGTACATGCATGCATAGGACAGCCAGAAACTTCAGCCACCATTCTTCAGATGCTACTACACCTGGCTTTTTATTTTTTGTTTTCTTTGAGACAGGGTCTCTCTATGTAGCCCTGACTGACCTGAAACTCATTATGCAGACCAGGCTATCCTCAAATTCACAGAGATCCATCAAGGTGTGTGCCACCATCCCCAGCCACATCTGGCTTTTTATAATGTGGGTTCTAGAGGAAGCTCTGGTCCCCACACATGCAAGGCAAGTACTTTACTGACTGAGCTATCTCCCCAGCCCCCAGCTGTATATCTTACCTGCCTGTGACCTTGGCTGAGGTCTTCTGACCTCTCGTAGCCTCAGTCTCCCCACTTGAAAAATGGACCTGGAAGCACTCAGTAACACCCTTGTTTCACACAGGATGTTCAAACACATGGGGAGTTTAACAATCCTGATGCCTAGGCCACACTCACCTGGGTATTCTTCCACAAGGAGGTAAAATAAATGAAATGTAAAATCAAGTATTTAAAAGTGTTACCTGTAGATCTTAAGTGCTGTTCTGGCAATTCTAGTATTAGAGAAGCAATGACCGAGCGCACAGCAGACCCAGGCCCTTCCCCTAGGAGCAGACATGGGTCTCTCCTACCATCCTGTACCTGGGGCCCTTGAAGTGGGACCCAGGATTGTGCATTTCTTTTAAAAAATTTATTATTTATTTATATTTTATGTGCATGAGTGTTTTGCGTGCATGTATGTAAGTGCGCCATGTGTATACAATGCCCTCAGAGGCTAAAGGAGAGCATCAGAGCCCCTTGAACTGGAGTTATGGATAGCTGTTAGCTGTCGTATGGATGCTGGGAAATGATCTGGGGTCCACTGCAAAAGCAGTCAGTGCTCTTAACTGCAGAGCCATCTCTCTCCAGCCCTGGGATTCTGCATTCCTCCTCCTCCTCCTCCTCCTCCTCCTCCTCCTCTTCCTCCTCCTCCCCCTCCTCCTCAGCTTCTTCTGCCTCCTCCTCTTCTTCTTTTTCTTTTTTTAAAATTGAAATAGGGTCTCCGTATAGCCCCTGCTGGCCTGGAACTCACTATGGAGACCAGGCTAGCCTCCATCTCAGAGATCTGCCTGCCTCTGCCTTCTGAGTGTTGGGATTAAAGGCATGTACCACCACATAGGGCTGGATTCTACATTTCTAATAAGCTCATGACTGTTGCTGGTCTGCTGTCCCCAGTACAGAAGCCAGCAGATCCTGCCTGTCTTCTGGAGCCAGAGAAGTTTTGGAAGTTGTATTCATACACAGCAAGCATGCCACTGGGGGTAGGAAGAGGAAGGGGCATGAGGCTCTTCAGGCAGCCCAAATGAGAGGTGATCTTGTCTCCCAGGAACACTAACAATGTCTGATAATGGTTCAACTGTCACAGCTGGGGTGGGGGATGGGATGCTATTGACATCCAGTGGGCAGAAGCCAGGAATGCTGATAAGCATCCTACAATGCACAGGCCAGCCTCACCACACAGGACTGTCCTGTTCAACAGTTGTTGGGACTGCTGCTCAAGGCCGCCTCAGGTTCACTTTGGCTCCCAGACCAGTAGCATCATCTTTGCCTAGGAAGTGCAAATCCCTGGGCCCCAGCCCAGTTTCCCAAGTCCTTTAAGAGATTCCCATGCATACACAAGCATGAGACCCATTTCTCAATCCTGCTTGATAATGAGTTTGTTAGACTTCAAGTCTCCCAGGCGCCTTCCGGGGGAGGGTCTGTGTCTGTGAGTCTGGGGACAGTCTCAGTGTTGATACGACATGGAATGGCCTGTGGTCATAGTTTTGGACTAAGCTTCTGCACTGGGCCCCAAGAGGCCAGACTGGAAAGCAAAATGGAGTCAGTCGCTCATGACCAAGTTGAAACCAAACTTTTTATCTGACCCTCAGAGAAATTAGGAGACTATGAAAGGGAAGCCAACTTTCTTCCAAAATGAGTTACTTTCAGTCAGCATAACCACAAAGTGTCTCTTGCTCTAATCCTTACAAAAAATGACCTAAGTAACCCAATATGAACCAATCAGGCCTTTATCATTCCAATTTCTTGTTCCCACCTTGTAAGGAAGAGACGTGTGGAAAGAATAATCCCTACTTCGTTCCTTGTTTCCGCTTTCCCTGATCCATTGCTGTCGATAAAGCCCACCTCTTGGGGTTACGACAGAACATGTGTGAGGCCCTGGTTTTGGTTCCCGAACACCGAAACAAACATACACCATAAAATAGGGCCAATGAGATAGCTCAGTGGGTAAAGGTGACTGCCACCAAGCCTGACGACCTGAGTTCAATCCCCAGGACCCACATGGTAGGAGAGAACTGACTTCTGCAAGTTGTCTTTGGACTTCCGCACACATGCCATGGTGAAAGCACACAGGTGGGTGAACACGCACGCGCGCGCACACATACACACACACACACACACACACACACACACGTAATTTTAAAAAATACCCACCAAAATAAAACCGTTTCTGGGCTTACTGGAACATTCTGATTTTATGAAATAAAAGATTTATAGAACTACAGATAAAGCCAATTAAGGGTTCTTTTTTTTGGTCTTTTGTCTTTTTGAGATGGTCTCCCTGTAGCCCCAGCTGGCCTGGAACTCACTATGCAGACCAGGCTGGTCTTGAATTCAGAGATCCCACAGGCAGGATTAAAGATGTGAGCCACCACGCCGGGTGCCAATGAAGATCTTGAACTCAATAACTTGTAATCTTGTCCTTTGGCAGGACTTTTCGCAATGGCCCTGGGTCATTTTTGTCTGGGTTTAGGAAACACATGTCTAGGATAGGAGGAAATTTCTTGAAGACAGATCTAAGGGAAGACATGTTTCTAGCCCAGGAACAGGTTGTCCCTTCAAGGCCTAGCTTCTTCCTGTCATCCACCCACTAATCCTGCTGGCTGTCCCAGAGAGGGGGGCAGAGGCAGGATTCTGTCTACCTCACAGTCTTGGTCTACAGCACCAGTGCTTACCCATGCAGGGGTCTGGGGTAGGGATACTCCCCCAGGCTGAGACAGAAGCTGCAAGCCAACTTTGCCAAAGCAATCCGGGTTTCTGGACAGGCCTTGATTCAGGGGAGGAAGGTTTAATCTGTCTTCAAGCCTTGTAAATAAGGTCTTTGAAATCTGGGCGGCGTTTGGCCTATGATATGCGTGGCTGTCTAGTTTAGTGCTTATTCAATGAAATAACCAACAAAGTTCTTTCTTTTTTTCCCACTTCTGTGAAGACCACTCACTGCATTAATAGGCTGTCTTTGATTATGGCCCCAACGAGGGTCAGAGTGAGGACTTTGACCCAGAAGGCCACTTACCGTGGGCGGAGGGGAGCCTCTTCCAATGAGTGGCACATTCTCGTAGCGTGGGTTCCCACCAAAGAGCATGGCTTGGTTCCTGCGGGCCAAGAGGACAGCTCAGTTCAGGTGTGTGTCTACATGTGTGCGTGCCCGTAGAAGTCAGAGTCGGTCGCATAGAAAGGGATATAACAGAGGGACTGTGGGTAGGAAAATAGAGAGCTAGGTATGGTGACTCACACCTGCAATCCCAGCACTTGGGAGACTAGGCCAGTCTGGGCTATAGTAGATCCTCTCTCAAAAGAATCAAAAGGAAATTGCATTCTAGGGGGCTAGGAGACATACAGCTAACAGGGACAGGTGCTAGGAGAAGCACAGCCTCCAGAACGACAGCTTCTTAGGCCTGGGACTAACCAGAGGACTTGTGACAAAAGTCTAGGGCTGGATACCTGTAGTGGATTCATCTCCAGTACACATGGAATACAGGAGTGATAAGATTCTCTCACCAGCATCCTGTGGCTAAAGTCAGGGGTCCAGGGCTGACCCATGATGCCCTCCCTCCCCCATGTGGCTCTGTGGACCAAACACCCTGTCTATAGACACAGTTCCCCTTCCAGGGCTGTGAGGCCATGCTGCCCAGCCTGGGAGTGGGGGACTGAGGGACCCTGCCTTACATACATGTACTCAGAGACTGGAGCATTGGAGATGGTCTGGGTGGGTGGCTGGAGGCTGCACTGGCTGCCCAGACCACTGCTGTAGCTGCAGAAGCTGTGAAGCTGCCCCCTCTGTGGGTTGTGGGCCGCGATGCGTCGAGCTTGGGGGTTAAAGGGGTCGTCGTCATCGATGTCATCATAGTCTCTGTCCCTAGAATGACATGTAGAATTTGGCCAGCTGTCAAGCGGGGTCACTGGACCCTCACCTGAGTATCTAGCCACTCTTCCCAGCCAACTAGTACAGCCTTGGAAGACAAAAGAAAAATGAGGAGAACCCAATAGAGAGATGCTTTTGGAAGCCCTTGTCAAGAAACTCCAATGGACTCTCATGTGAACATTTGAAAATTGCCCTGTTCTGACTTTTCTCTAGTTCCCTGTCTAGAACTTGTAATGCTAGTTACTCTTGCCTTTAGTTCTCCTTCACATCTCCCATTCATGATTCAAGGACTTCCTTTTTCCTTTACAGATAAGAGTTATGCAATTTGGGAGTTTTTTAGATAGACCCATTGAAGGGGTACTCCAATTGCCTCACCCTGCATCCCTGCT